TCCTCCTGACGGCAACACCAATTCTGTTTGAGTACCATCATCCCCACTAACAAGAGTAAACTTTTTACAAGAATTCATTTGATTCTTTAAAGCAGTGGTTCCATTCTTTTTAGGATCAGCAAAAAATTCTCTGTCACAATAATTACATCTAGCTTTACGATTACCTTCCTCGTTAACAAATTTAGTAAAGTGGTCCCATACCTCTGACCATGGCTTAGATGCCCATCTCATCACTTTGAAATTTACAGTTTCACTTTTTGTTACCTCATCATGTGCAGGAAGTTGAGAGGCCAATTGTGTTTGCTTAGGTGTAAAATCCAAAATTATATCATTCACTTCATTTAACATCTTCAAAAAAAAAAAAGTGATCAAATTATATCCAAACAATAAAAAATAAATAATTATATTATATTAAAATAATAAATAAAAATAAAATTATATTCAAATAATGAAACAATAATAAAGTAGTGGTCACACAATTACTGAACACATTGGATATTCAAATAATGAAATAGTTTGTTGATCAAACTATATATTAGTTACTTGTTTTATCAACGAACAATTTAAGTATCTAGCATAGTTTAGACTAATTTATTTTAGCTTTTAATTTAAGTATCTAGCACAATTTAGATTAATTAGTTGCTAGATCTAGTAAGGAAGTTAAAAGTGCTAGATCTAGTAAGGTACTTTTTTGCTTTCTTTTTATTCTAATTCATATATGATAAGACCTTAAATAAATCTTTCCATACTTTTTGAACCGAGCTACTGGAAACGTTAACAGGAAAAGAGGACTAAAGCTAGAAGAAAAGTGTGAAGTATTTTGAATTTTTGGTTTAAAAGACTTGTTTTATACTCGATGGCAAGAACAAAGCGAAGAAGGAAATTCGTTAACAAAAAGGGTTAAATCCTACCTACCAATCACGATTTTCTAGAAAGCTCACATCACACAGTCCCTACTTAATCTATCAGGCCATGGAAAGACTATTTTTTTTTACTTACTAGCATTCTTTTGAATACCTTCCTTATTTATCTTTAAGCGAGCCTACTTTCACAATCACTGTGAAAACCAGACTAAAGCAAGAAACCATGTTTTGGAATCGCCCTTCCAATCAACTCTTTCCTAACTTCAGAAAGCGAGCCACAAGAATTGGCATTAAAGGCGGGCTGTCCCAGGCTCACTATTTAAAGTAGACTGACTTTTCTAACTTATGACTAAACAAAAAAAAAAAGAATAAATGGTTTAAAGAGTGCATGAATGAACAGGACAAATCATCTATTCCTTTTCAGGATAGTAACAGGGGTTGGCTTAGTGGATGTATTCTCCCCCATAAGTCCTATGCTTTCATATCCATAAAACAGGATGAAAATAGAACTTTTCAGTGGTCAACAAAGAAAACTACAGCTTGTAGTCTTGAAAGACAAAATCACAAACCATTTTCCCAAAGGATTTTTTATAGATCAGACATGAAGAATGCACCTCTAAACAAAGACATAATATCACGGTAAAAGAAAAAATAAAGATTATCAGGATTTAGAAACTTACGATGGCATCTTGGGCAGCAAAGGAAGATCGATCTCTACAATTGTTTGATCTTGTGTAACAAATTAGAGGGAGCAAGACATTAAAAAGGAAGCAATCAAGTAAGAGAGTAAGAGGGAGACAAAGATGCAAGAGACTAAGGGGGAGCAAACTGCAAAGAATAGAAAAGGGGCACTGTAAGATGCGGCAGATTGAGGGGGAGCAAATAGCAGAAATGGGGCACAACGTAGGTAGGGTGAGACGGTGAGTTAGAAAAAGTAAATTAAATTTAAGGTTTTTTTAAGAGAATTTACATATTTACCCTTAGTTATTATAAGATCGGTTAATTCGGTTATCAATTTTGAAAATCGATAACCAATTGATTTAACTAATTTAACTGATCCCAAAATTGACTATAATCGAAAACTGACTAAATCGAACCGAAATGACCATATTTCATTAATTTTAGTCTATTAAATCGATTTGAACCAATTTCTGCTCACCCCTAAGGTTATTATTGCTTCTATTACATTGGATTATATCTTATTTACATTTTACTGCATCAAATTATTAAATTAATCTCTTAAATTAACATTTTAATTCATAAATTTATCAATATATTTTTATATAAATTAAAATTTATCTAAAATATATTATATATTATTTTTATAAGGCATAATAGAACCATAATACTCAATAAAAAAAATTTGATGAGACATAAGGCTAAAAAAATTAAAAAATATACGAATTTATAATCCCTTTGAAAGGACATTAATTAAATGACCGTTACAGGACAATCTTAAAAAGCTATCAAATTAGGCTTAAAAAAATATTATAACAATACTATTGGGAAGTGAGAAGGATCACAAACAACTTTCTTACATGTGATAGTATCACCTTCAGATGTGACATCACTAACTTTGCTTTCATCATCAAACTCCACTTACAGATACAATATGACGCAAATATAAAATAAAGTATGAAAACATGAACCAATAATAAAATAAAGAAGAGAGACTTGAAATCTAATAAACGCCACTTCATACATTGCACTCAGGCTTATTCAATATATGTTCCACTCTATTTAGCATTAAATCGTGCAAAAGCCTGGGTTATTCCAAACAAGAAATACAAGGGGTGTTAGTTTAGGAGAAAGTAAAATTATTTTTAGAATTTTTATTAGTATGATTTTTATGTTTGATTCTCCTAATTTGATTTTTTTTAAAATTTTTTTAAGGTTTTTAATAATATTAAGGAAAAAAATCATAAATCACAAATTTTCTCACTTTGAAGCTTTTTAAGAATTTTAATAAAATGTAAAATTTATCTCACTTTTACTTTACCTAAATGGTTTTTATAGTTTATTTTATCTTTTAATATAAAAAAATTACATGATAAACAAATATCGAAATTGATACACACTGAACATTCAAAGTCTCATCTTGAATCATGCAATGACCATACTTAAATTTATTTTTCAAAAAGTATAAAATTAAGTCAATTTTAATTTGTATTGAATTTTTATTCATTAGTAGTAAATATGTTTTTAATTTATACAAATGATTTGAATTTATTTAATAAAAATATAATTGTTAACATATGCATATTTTTAAATAATATTAAATTATTTCAAATTAAAAATACAATAATATTAAATTGTTTTAAATGTTGATTGTAAGAAAAATCAATTGATCTATTACAAGAGGGAATCGATTGGTTCAGCTAGGGCATCGATCTTATAACCCAAGGGGATCAATTCGATCAAGTTAGGCGGTTGTATCCTGCTTTGCACTTTACTCATTAATTTGATCATATCTTGAGTTATACAATTTCAAATCAAAAGTTGTTTGAAGATTTAAAAATTAGACTTAAAGAGCTTTCTATCATTTAAAATTTATTACCTAATTCATTGTATATGAATTATAATGAAATTTTCAAAGCTACTTTTTTACAGTTTTTAGACAACTACAAAGTGTCTAGTAAAAATTTATAATCTTTTCTTAAAAAATTTGGATTTTGATTTTTTTTATCCATTAGAAAGTAAACTCAAAGAGCTTTCCAACCATATAAAATTCAAATATTAGACCTTTGTGAATTAATACAAAAAAAATAAAAACAAGTTCAATATTGAAAAACTTTTGTTCTTGTAAAACAACTTTCTTAAGTTAATCTATTTCTAAAAACCAATATTATCAAAATTGTATTGAGTCCAAAATGAATAAGTTCACTTTAAAACCAATAATTAGACTTTCATTTAAGCTTAAATAAATAATATTTAAAGATAGTTTTAATTTAAGAAATAAGAAAACATAAAGAAAGACTTGTTTAAACTTTGAAAATCATATTATTTATTTAGTACCAAAATAATAAAACTTAAGAACTTGTACTAAATAAATTTTTTTCAAAATCTTGATCAAGCTTATTTAGCTTATTGTTTTATCATTTCAAAATAAAGATAAATTTAAGGCTAACATTACCTATCATTAATTTATTAAGATATTGTTATGCATTTACAACTATGAAACATGGAATTTAAAAAGTTCACTAATAATATATGAGATAAACTTTCTTTACATAATCACATTATTATTTTATTTAAGTTTAGAATTTTTTTCACTTATTTTTTATTAAATAGGTTTTACGTTAGTTTATCTTAAACCTTAAAATGAAACTTTTGACATCGTTTCTACTAGTAACCAGGATTTAATCTTTGGCAACTTCAAATATAAAAAAAGTTCTCAATAATTGATAATTAAATTATTAGTTATTTACTAATAATTTATTAATAATTTACTTATAATTTATGAATGGTTTGACATTAAGTTATGAATGATTTTATCATTAAGTTATGAATTATTGATTTTAAATTGTTGGTGATTTACCACTAAATTATTAATAATTTATTATAAAGTTATAATTGATTTACTATTAATTTATCAATAATTCATTAAAAAGTTATCAGTGATTTATTAATTTATTATTAAATTATTACTGATTTATAACTAAGTTATAATAATGAACTATTATGTTGTTAGTGATTTACTACAAATTATTAATGATTTATTATTATATTTTTATATATTTACTATTATTTATCATTGATTTATTACTTAATTTTTTATTATTTACTATAAAATTATCACCAATTTACCATTAAATTATATATAATTCACTATCAAATTCTTACTGATTTATATTAAAATATACATAATTTATTATTAAATTACCACTAATTCACAACAAGAAAATAAATATTTAATGACAGTTTTTTAGTGACGTTTGTTGATAAATATCACTATGTTCCGTGTTTTTATAAAATTAATGACTGTTTATATCATAAACACCACTAAATATACATTTAGCGACGTGGATTCCTCAAAACCTAATCAGTAAAAATTAACAATGTGTTTGTTTACAAACGCCACAAATGAAAATTTCAAAATTAATTAAATTGAATTAAAAAAATGGAATGTACGGATATGAAAATTTTTAGTGGCGCTTATTATGATAAACGCCTCTATTAAGCATCATTCAGTGGCGTTTGTATTTTCCCCAAAATCATCAGCCCCTTCTGGCAGATTTTCCTCTATTTCATTTCTCCTATTTTTCCGCCATTCAGATTCAGTCGACCTCAGATTTCCTCGTCATTCCATTTACTTTTCAATTTCTTTTATTTTTCATTTCCAGATTGAAACCCATTTCGCCCATTTTGCCCACTTGGCAGATCCCTTTCTGGGTTTGTGGATTTTGAGGGGATAGAGTAGTTTGAAGCAGCTTTTGAGGTTCTATTGTGGAGTGTGGTTTTTGTATGCTCATTATGGAATTGTTTAATTTCATAGACAGAGGAGCTGGTGGTGTCATCGTCATCATCTTCCATCCCATGAAACTTCATGTAATTAACACTTACAACCCAAAACTTTTCTTTTTTCCTTCATGTAAATGTAAATTTTTTTGAAATTTTGTTTCTATTTGTTGTTTAGGGTAAGCAGAACTGGAGCTTATGATTTGGGTGAATTAGATGGACAAAACCCTTAAAATATTCAAGACTAAAAACATGAGTGTTCTCTCGTCTCTAGCTCTGTCAAAAACTTTTTTTTTTCACATATAACAAGTATAAGCTACCTCTCAGATATGGTAGAAGAAGCAAAATTATATCAACTTTAGCCTTCATTAAGTTGATTCATGGAGGCTCCGCAAACTACAATATTCCTTTTGTTCTAAGTAGTCCAACAGTCATCATCAACGAAGAAAACCCACATTTGCTTTTATCTGTTGCCATAAGTTTAGGTTCCATTATGTGCCTGTGTTTTGCTTTTGCAATCTCTGGTTTCCTTCTATACAAGCATAGAATTCACAGTTACAGAAAGCATTCAGAAAATAAAATTACTCCAAGAATAACTAAGCAGTTTACAATAAGATCATTTTCTTTTATTGAGCTCCAGGAAGCAACAGACTGTTTCAAGGAAGAGTTGGGTAAAGAGTCCTTTCGAGCAGTTTATAAAGGAACTCTACCAGTTGCAGGGGGTACTAAAATTGTTGCAATTAAGAAACTAGAGAATGTGGAGTACAGAGAAAGAGAGTTTCAGAAGGAGATGACAGCCATTAAGAGATTTCGGGTTAGCCAAGCTATTGATGGCAGATCAAACAAGCATTACAAGGATTAAAAGCACGGGAGGGCAGTTGGCACTGTAATGGCAAAGGAATGCCCCAATATTTATAAAAGTTGATGTTTACAATTTTGGGATCATACTGCTGGAGATCATCTGTTGTAGGAGTAGCATAGAAGTAAAGGTTTGTATAGTAGATGAGATACTTCTTTCAAGTTGGGCATATAATTGCTTCACTCTAGCGAGCTGAATAAGCTTGTGGAAGATGAAGAATTAGACTTGAAAATGTTGGAAAGAATGGTAAAGGTGGGACTGTGGTGTATTCAAAACGACCCAACTCTACGTCCTTCAATGAAGAATGTGATCTTGATGCTGGAAGGGACAATTGACGTACCCATCCCTCCATCTCCATTTCATCATTCCCTTGATATTTAACAATTTTTAATTACCTCATCACTACATTATATATATTAGGATTGTACTCTCATGCGTGTGTTTTTGCTTTTAATGTATTTTATGTTTTTATAGTATTAATAATTCTTAAGTTTTGTTAATTTGGTAATTTGGATTAAAAAAAAATTAATTAGATTTTAAATTTTGTGTTAATTATAAATTATATGAATGCTAACTATAGGTATCTGCACTTCATCACGTTTGCAGTGTGCTCTGGCTGCTATAGTAATCTATGCTGTTATAAGTCTGGTAAGTAAAAGACAAGCCTGTGTTGGAACATTTTTAAAACTAGATTATGCATTATTTTATGCTTCAATGGATGTTGGATCATATAATTTACTGTTTGCAACTCATATCAAATCTACCAGAATAAAAAGAAATTGGTATCCTATGAGGTAATTGATATGTTTAAGCAGATCTTTGGTTGTAATTTATTTTCTCTGCATTTTAACGATTTCATGTGGATTATGAAGAGGCATTTTTCTTATGGCATGTAGATAAGAAAGATTTTATTCTTTGGACCATTACAAGTACTACGACTCTGTTTCTTGGTATTGAGATTGGTGTCCTTATTGGGGTAAGCAATTTAGATATAATTAAGAGGTATAATTTTTATTTTATTTTGATATTTCAGATACGTGTTTCACTTGCCTTATTATCAACCACCAATGCCATCTATTTTTCAAGCAAAGGTACCTCAACCGCACATTGCAGTTCCTAGGTGTGCTTACCAGCCTGTCCCTGGACCTTTCCTAGTATTGAACCTTAGGTGATTCTGTATTTTGTTCTTGTTTGAGCTCTCGATTTTATTTTGCCATTCCTAAAATGAATTCTCTTTAAAGTGACTTATTTCTACTTTCTAGGAGCTATATGTTATATGCCTATTGCTTCCCCAGGCTCTATAAGGGGACCTCATCCTCCACGCTTTGTTCCATACCCGATAAATCCAGGGACTGCCATGTTCCTTCCAGAGACAGTAGCTTTGAGGTTCAATATAGTGAAACAAATTGAGTATTATTTCAGGTAATTTTTTTGTTTGTATGGTTTAATAATTTATTTAATAGAGTTGTTACATACGCTATAAATCCTTTTATTTATTTAATAAATTTTTGTCTGTATGGTTTGTATTTGTTTTCTTTGTAATAGCTTGGTGCCATTATCTAGAATTGTTGCTAAATTATATCCCTTCCTAGTCTATAGATGACATGACCTGTGTCATTTTTGGGTATTTGGATTTATCACTTTGCTGGTGAAAATGGTTGATGCATTCCTTATGTATTTACGTTTCTTAGTGCTTGTGTACACATGTTATTTACGGCGTCATTGAAGAACTACAGGTCTTACCAAAAACTGATGGTGTGGTGTATACACTTTAGACTTTGTCAACCTATGACTTCATATCAAATGCCATAAATTTATTTATTTTTTCACTAGTGTAATGAATAAAAAAATGAATAAATTGTTATGACATTCTGAGTCATAGGTTAAGAGAATGAGTACAGACATACAATTTATCCTTAACGTGCTGCTGAGTTTTTAGTACTATTGAAGTGCAGGTTAGACTTTTCTCTCTTTTGGGTGTTACTGTTTTTGAAATTTGATGTATGCAAGCTCATTGGGCCACATGTTTAATTTTGAGAATAGTATCACTTTATTTATATCTTTTCCACGTGATTGGCTTTAATTTACCCATTTTACCAAGTTCATAATAGTTTTAACCAAAAAGTTTCATTTCAACAATTTTCTTTCAAAATACTGAAATATAATTTATGGTGTAAGTAAAATAATAACTATTTCCTAATCCAGGTACCTTTGTATAATCTATATTTTTCATAAATTATAATTAATTGATTTTGTCAAATTACAAATTATAATTAATTTAGTTTTTGGTTTTCCAATCATGACTATTCGTTTGTTATTTGCTATACAGTTTTGTGGTGTAGAATAATTTAGCGCGGGGACGCAAGAGTACATCTTTCATTGATATGAATGCTGATATAAAATTACTTGCATGGAATTATTGTACTGAAACAATAAGTTGTTATTGTATTAAATATTTGTCGTAACATGCATACTATAATAAATTATGTATTTAGATATTTAAATATTTATAATATTTAATTTATGATTTTCAATTTATTTTTATTTATTTAAATATTTTTTATTTAATTATAATAGTAAATATTAAAAAAATAAAAAAAAATAAAACTTCTAATTTAACTGTGTTTTTGCCATAAACGTCGCTAAATGATTAAAATTAGTGGCTTTTTTATCTGAAAATACCGTTATATTTAGTGATGATTTTTAAATATACGTAGTTAAATAATCAAAATTAGTAGCGTTTATGTGTAAAAATATCATTAAATTTAGTAACGTTTTACAAGAAACGTCATAAAATTTGAGGCATTTTTTTCTAAAATGTTATTTTCCTCAATGCAGGTATAGTCAATGTTCTTAGTGGTATTTTTGAAAAGTGTCGCGAATTGTTTAGAAATGTTTATAAATGTCACTAAATATATAAAAAAATGCCATTAAAGATTTATTTCATGTAGTGATTAAATATCATATTATCGATGAATTATTATTAAATTATACTGATTTATTTTTATTTTTAATAATTAATTATTAAATTATTAATTATTTACTATTAATTTATTATTGATTTACTACTAAATTATTTATGATTTACTATTGTCAATTAATTACTATTAAATTGAAACTATTTTACTATTAAATTATTATTAAATTATTATTAAGTTATCATTAATCTATTACTAAATTGTCAATAATTAACTATTAAGTTATATATCATTTTTTTTGTTAAGTTATCATTGATTTATTACTATATTATTATATATTTATAACTATATTATAATTGATTTACCATTAAGGTATTATACATAAATTATTATATTATTACTGATTTACTAAAAATTATTAATTATTTAGTACTAAATTATTATTCATTTATTATTAAATTATCAATAATTTATTACTAAATTATTGATGATTACTATTAAATTGTATTGATTATATTTAAGTTTTTAATGATTAATTACTAAATTATTGATTATCTACTATTATGTTATTATTGATTTGTATATATTCAAAAAGAAAATAATTAGTACGTTAAATGATGTAATTTGTAAAATAAATAAAAAAGGAAAAAAAAGTTTAAGTTTAAATGACTGGAAAAGCATGAATAAATGCTTTTAATTTATTATCTGTAATTTAAGACGTAATAATAAGTTAAAGTCATAACTATTTATACCAATACAAGCATTAAAACTATATAATTTTTATTAATATAATACATATGTAAATATAAATTAAATAAATAGTAAAATTTATTCTTTATGTATTTTCGGAAAAGTTGGAACAAAGCAAACATGGTCACAACTTAATCCAAATTGTTCAAAAAAGAAAAAATTAACCCGCTCTTTATTTTTTAAAAAAAATTGTATCAATTAGATTGTGATAAATCAAAATTTATTATATATAAATTATTTTGTTATTTTTACATTCATTGATTTTTTTTTTACAAAATTTATTTAATAAATAAAATTTTAAAAATTAAAAAAAAAAAAGCTAAATGAGATGGCACATGGATTTACTAAACAAAGATATTAAATAATATTTTTTAATGTATAAATATAGAATTAAATAAATAATAAAATATATTTTTTTATATATACCAAGGCCAAATAATAATATCCAAATTTTTTTCTTTGACCCTAGCTTGATTTAAAAAAAAAAAAACCAATTATTTTGAATTGAAAGAAAGCACATTAATTGGAACAAAACGAATCGAAATCTATCGGATATTTGTTATTTTGTCATCTTTATCTAAATTGATTTTTTTATTATAAAATTTATCTAATATAAAGTATAGTGAAAAAGAATAAGCTTTAAAAAAACAAAGAAAATGAAAAAAATGAGAAAAATAACATATAAACACCAAAGGACGAAACATTTTAAATCTATTTTCAACTCGATCTCATTTTATAAAAACTTATATTCAATCTCAATTTTTTTTAAATAATGAGTTTATATTTAATCGATATGAATTAAAACCAATCGAATATGAATTATTTCAATATTTCTACTTTCATTGATTTTTTTTATAAATGTTATCTAATAAAAAATATATAAAAATAAATAAATAAGTAAAAAATAAAAAAAATTGGAAAAATGAGGAAGGAGAAAGAATGAATGAAAGGTGCCATCGACACCCTCTCTTTCTTCCAAGTATAAAGATGTTATTTACAGGACTGTTGGTGGGGTCAAAGTGAGAAAAGCATGGGTGTGCTTTTGTGTTGCATGGAGAGTGAATTTGTTGGTGAGTGTTGGAGGGGAATGGAGAACAGTGAGATTTGCATGCTATTTATTTTTGTTTCGATGGTGTTTGATTAGATCATACATTTCTTGTGGTTAAAAGAAGAGAGAATAGTTATTAAAGAGTTAATAGTATTCGTAGTCATTTAGTTTTGAGGTAAATTTTAGTTTGGTTTTTAATTTTTAAAAAGTCATAGGTGAAATTTTAATTGTTAAAAATTGTTTTAATTTGGTTATTTATTTATAAAATCATCTAAATTGATAGTAAATATCAGTTGTGTCATATAAATAGTTTTAATTGATATCTCATGTGACAGACAGAAGAATCAAAATACAATTTTTCTTAAAGTTTAGGGACTAATGATGTTATTATATCAATTTTTATATTTCAAATATATTTTTATAGAACATTAAATTAAAAAAATTATATTTTAATTGCAATATATTTTGTTTTTGAATTTTTTTGTTTTTGATAGAAAATATATTTTTAAAAATTAAAATTAAGTTAAAATTTTCAAAATCTTTTAAAAAAAATTTCATATCATTTAAAAAACTATTTTATGTTAAACATATTATTTTATAAAGATGAAAAAAGGAAAAAATAAAAATAATTAAAGAAAATTTCTTATTTTTATATTTCAAATATATTTTATAAAATATTATCATTTAAATTAATTTTTTATTTCTTATTATAATATTATTTAGCATTAAAATACTATTTTTAATAGAAAATATATTTTAAAAAATTAAAATTTTGTTAAAAATCTTTAAATCCTTTTCAAAAAATTTCCATATAATTTTTAAAAATTAAATAAAAATTTCATATCATTTTAAAAAATTTATTAAGTAAGAAAAAATTTAAGAGAAAAAAATAGAAAAGGAAAGGTGCTGGGAGTGAGAGACTACATTCCCATAAAATAATGAAAGAATATGGTTATTTTTCTTTATTTTTTTTTAACATTAGATCCATGCAACTTTCTCTTTTATGAAAAAAAAAAAATTTCAAATTGCACATTAAATCCTTATACTTTAATTAAATAGTGAAATTAGTCATTTTACTTTGATGTATTCAAATTGGATATTTATACTTTAGTTAATTGTTAAATTTAGTCAGATTATTAACAATTCAAACTTTTTTTTTGGTTAAAATTAATGACGTGACATTTTAACTTTTCTAATCTTACATTTTTGTTTACGTAAATGTTAATTTTGTCAATTTGTAAAATTCATGTGATAAAAAATGATATCACGACAAAAAAGTTTTGACATGTTATTATTTTTTCACGTCAACTTTTTTTAAATTGTACAATTCGTTCTTATATTTTTGTTTAATGGTGGAATTAGTTTTTCTACCTTAATATGTATTTAAATTTGATTTTTATATATTAATTAATTATTAAATTTAAGATTTGACATAAAAAAAAAAAACATAAATTATTAATTCAATCGTGGTTTTTTTCATATTTAGATTTTTTTGGGATATTTGAATTATTAATTTGATTTAATTTGACAAATTGGATTAATTTCAAATTAGATTATAAACATAACAAAAACTGAATTATATCTTCTCTTTATCTTTCTTTTATTTATTTATTTATTTTGATTTTTTTTTCATTTTTGATAATTTGTATTTTCAATCTTTTTGAAATATAAAAAATAAAAAAAAAAGATAAAAAATAAAAAAATTTAAAAAATGACATAAACCAATAAGTTAGATCAAGAAACCTATAATCAACAAACCTAATAAACCCAAATTCATAATCAACAATAAAAACAATTGTAGACATTTCATTTTGTTAGGGAAATTTTTTGACATTAAATGGATTTTGAATTTCATATCAATATTGGGTTCTAAAATCGTTTTTGGAACAATTAGATTTTAATTGTGAAATTGGATTTTAAGTCCAAATTTAAAAGCCTAAAAAAATATTTCATTTATTATTTATTGTTTTCTTTATTATTTTTATTGTTAAGTTGGTGGTAGTTAATAAGTCAAAGTTAGAAAAAGGCAAAAAAATAAAAGTACAAAATTGAAAATTGAAAATTGAAAAATAAGGAAAATATGAAAATCTTTTAAAAAGATTGATTGGAGAAAATTTTGAAAATTCAACAGCAATCAATAAGATAACAAAAATAAAAATAACTAATAAAAATAATTAGAAACAAATTTTTGGTTGAGAAAATTTTTTTAGAGGTTTTGAATTTGAACTTTTAAGGCATTATGCTTAGTTTTACTTTGGACGGTGATACAAAACGGTGGTGTCGATGATCGATTTTACGATATTGGTAATTTTTGGATTTTTAAGATAAATTTTTTCTATGATCACTGAATTTTTTGATCACTAATTTCTAGAAATCTCATTGAAATATGAGTTAATTGAATAAAACTTGTAGAAAGAAGTAAGAGGAAAATGAGGATGAAAAAGAGGAGAAAAGATGAAAACTTTAAATATATGATTTTTTGCTTTTACAACAAGTTAAAACGGTGCTGTTTTAAAAAATGGGTTTGGTTTTATTCGTATGTTGACCTATACAGAAATTTTGTTATGATTCGACCTATTTGCATTAAAATATTATTTTTTATTTTTTATTTTAGTTTTATTTTACTTATTTTAGGTAAAATATTAATTCAATAATTAATTAAAATATAGAGACAAAATTTGAATATATATTAAGATAAAAAAATTAATTTCATCATTTAACTAAAGTATAATAACGCATTGTACAATTTGAAAAAAATTAATATGAAAATATCAACGTGACAAAACATTTTTGTCATTTTATCATTTTTATACTGTAAATTTGATATATTAGTAAAATCAACGATTATGTAAATAAAAATATCAGATAAAAAAATTAAAATATTATATCATCAATTTAAAAAAAAGTTTAAGCTATTAATAATTTAACTAAATTTAATAATTTATTAAAATATAAAAATTCAATTTGAGTGTATAAGATAGAAAAACTAATTTTATTATTTAATTAAAATACAGGGATATATTGTACAATTTAACAAAAACCCATATTCTCTTTTATAAATTAAAAACTCGTCATTTTTTTCCCTAATAATTTCTTCCTGACGGCAATTAATAAAAATTTGCAATGAACCGTCTTTTTTAATTTCTCCATTAATATTCCACGCGCTTACTTTGGAGTTTTGTTTTGATAATAAAATCGAATCTTTTCCTTTCCCTTGTTCCATCCTTTCTCTCTCTTCCCTTTTTTCTTCATCCTCTTTTTAAACCTAAATCTCCAAAAATACGTTTGAAATAGAAGAATTTAAGCTTTTATCAATCAATGCAATTCCATTGAAAAAAAATAAAATACCCAGAAAAAAATGTATAGCAATTTCAAAGAACAAGCGATTGAGTACGTGAAGCAAGCGGTACAAGAAGACAATGCAGGGAACTACAGCAAAGCCTTCCCTTTATACATGAACGCACTAGAGTATTTCAAGACCCATTTGAAATACGAGAAGAACCCCAAAATCAGGGAAGCAATTACCCAGAAATTCACCGAGTATTTACGCCGTGCCGAGGAGATCCGTGCCGTTCTCGATGAAGGTGGGCCTGGACCGGCTACTAATGGAGATGCTGCCGTTGCCACTCGCCCCAAAAGTAAGCCCAAGGATGGTAGTGGTGGAGGAGAAGGCGGTGATAGGGAGGATCCGGAACAGGCTAAGTTGAGAGCTGGGCTTGATTCCGCTATTATTAGGGAAAAGCCTAATGTCAAGTGGAATGATGTGGCTGGGTTAGAAAGTGCTAAGCAGGCTTTGCAAGAAGCTGTTATTTTGCCTGTCAAGTTTCCTCAGTTTTTTACTGGTTAGTTTTTCTTTGGATTTTTGTGCTTTTGATTTTGAGGATGATTTTGAGTATACATCTATAAAATTGATGGCTTCAGCTGGATTTTAGAAATTGGTAGTGGATAATGACGTGGGTTAATTGTTGTTTGTTAAACTATCGAGGAATTTTATGGTTTTATGTTTTTTTTTTTTATAGGTTTTGTTAATGATTTTTTTTTTTTTAATTTTTACCTATAAAGTCATTGACTTTTCTTGATTTTGGTAATTGGTAATTGCATAGTGAAATGGGTTAACTGTTGATTGTGCATTTGTTTAGAACTTTATTCTTTCTTGACAGTGATATTATTTATAGAGGAGGTTGGTTGGTAGTTTCAATGAGAAAGATGTGATTTTCTTGTTGATATTTGATATTGTGAGGATAATAAGAGTTTGTTTGTTTAAGTTGATCGTGGTAATGAAGAGTGCCTAATTTTGTTGCATTATAAACTAATTGTTGCGATTGTTAGTCCTAAATGTGAATTGCTGATTTTTTGAATATCTATGGGATGCACTGCATGCTTTCCGTGTTGTTTTGGTGCAAACCAATATTGCCCCTGTTATATATCTGTTGGACTGTTCCTGTTTAATGCAGTGAGATTTTAGCAAATTATTGATACGGCTAGTTGTGGTGTATCTTGCTGTCATTTTCCTTGCGTGCTTGAATTGATTCCTAGAATAGTACAAGCAACATAGTGAGATTTTATGTTGTGATATTAAAGGAGTTAATTTGAGAATTTATTGTTGCTTGTGAAATTCCTCCTTTTTGTTATGTTGTTAATGATTGTAATAGTTGTTAATGACAATAACTCTACTAATACCATCATTATCTTAATGATCAACTTCTTGCAGCATGTAAATATGACAAGCAGCCTCTTACATCACCTTACTAAGACCTGCTTGCTGCCTTTGTTAGTGTCAATTTCTTGCAACAATACAGACTCTACCTCCTTTGGAGCTGACACCATTGCCATCTTAATTACATGATATGAAATTAATTTGGTTTTGAAAGTCAAAAGCTTTTTAAGTTTTCTGCTTCTGTTATAATTTTGAAGTAGAATATGTCATATTCAACTTAAACATGGCTCATTTGCCATCTATATATATGGAGTAAATCAAAGTAATATATAGGATTAGATGAGGTTTTGTGTTCTGGTAGGAAAAGAGCCCTATCTTCAACCAGTACATACATTTTCTCCCTTGTTCATATTGATGGTTTTGGATATCCTCTTGGTCTTGCTAGAATACAAGACTGTATGATTTGAACTGCTTTTGTTTTATGTGTGCTTGAACTGTATTATTGGGTGGAGAGAAACTCACTGAATCTAATCTGTACCCCCCTTTTAGCGGCTTTTTCAACAGTCCTATTCTTTCCCATTTCAACATTACAATGCAGGGATATAATTTAACTAATTTGTTTTTTTTTTCCTACTTGTTTTAGGAAAGAGAAGGCCATGGAGAGCTTTTCTTTTGTATGGGCCACCAGGGACTGGGAAGTCATACTTGGCCAAGGCTGTTGCAACTGAAGCAGACTCTACATTTTTTAGGTAATATACTCTGATTGGCACATATTTGACCTCTTTATCTGCCCATAAGAAAATGTTCACTGATCATCTGCTGAGATTGAAACCTTTTTAACTTTTGTTTGTTTTCAAGATGCATATTGAATCATGAAAATAAGGGAAAAAGGTCACCTTTAATGTGTAGCTGATAGTGTGTTATCTAGCGTTTCCCCTGTGATGCAGTCACCACTTTCCTTTTATTGAGAGAAAGGGAGAGGTGGCAGTAGTAAAGACTTCAATATTGAATTGGTTAGGTGGCACTGTTCACATATTGTGGTTACTGCTTTTATCCGCTAGAAAAGCTCTTTGATCTGTTAGTATCTATTATCTTTCTGTACTGCAAATTTCCCTACCTTTTTCCTCCTTAGTTCCATGTTTTTTGTTCTGTCATTTGAAATTACTGCTGCGCTGCTTGATTAGTTATGTGTGAATTTTGCTATGATATCTATAGTACAAATAATGTTGATGCATCAATTGCAGAGCGCCTCATTGTTTTATGTGATTTTATATTAAGAATTCTAGGGATTGTGTCATGCAGGAGCAGAATTATAATTGACAGTTCCTTTAACCTAGGTATTACTTTGTTAAGTTTATGTTAGTCTAGGAGTTTCTAGGCTCTTGGTTAGTTTTCCAGAATCTAAGTTGATTATTTGGTTGTAGTTTTATGTCTGAATCCTAATCCTGTTGGATTTAAGGAATACTCTTGGAGTCCTTATAAATACCAATCTAATGTGCATATTTCTCTAGGGTTTTGATTTATGTAATTATGAGCATTTTGTTTACCGAGCATGGGTGCCTAGTGTAACCGTGTTCTCCTTCTCTCTTATTATCTTCTTTGTCCTTTGTTCATTTCCATTACTACAGTGCTTTTGGATTACTGTTGATCTCATAGTTAACCACATTGTCTTCTTCCTTTTTATGATCTAATCAAATCCCGTTTATTATGCTTTTCTAAGACTAAATCTTCCATATCAATTCCCACTGCCAAGGCTTTTAAATACATTAAGTAAATCCTACTGTTGCTGTTGCTGAGAATTTTGGTAAACAGGCTAAGCAGTTCCGGCCACTTATTTATGCTAACGTCCGATCACATCAAAGTGCTGTTTCCTTCGCTAACCTTAATTTGCTTTCTCCTATTCTAGAAACCTAGTTTTCGTTATTTCCAACCCCAAGTCCGCCAAAATAATGACATTGACAGATTACCCCCATTTTACCTACATCAAGTAGTAGTAGTAATTATATTAATTGCAGCAATAATAGAAGTAATAATTGAAATAAAAATGATATGGATTTTACAGTGTTTGCTCCAAGAATGGGTGTTGGCTTGTGTAATTATTATAGCCATACAATTTATCATGTCCACTGATGTGAAGATCTTCTAGTATGATTTCATATGCGCATAATTTAAGGTTTCACTGTGCTAAAGTATACTTTGAATAGTGCTGAAGATCTGGGAGTTTTAGAACTGTTTCTGTGGTTGCATCCTGCTGTTCCATTATTATACTTTAGCATACTTCTGAAAGATGCATTATGGGATTTGTGACGCCCTGTAGTATCGAAGCAATTGCTTTAAAACAAATTATATCTTAGGAGTAAGAATGGTTGTTGGGAATTCTAATGTAATCTTGAGCAAGTTAGCAATTCTACTGACTTCTGTGTTATTGAGTAGACATTTAGTCACTACCTGTCTGTTCTGGTCAAGCTTGCTCTTCATTCCTTAATTTAGTTTGATGTCTCTCTCGCGATTATCAGTTTATCTTATGTGTAACAATTGGTCTAAAGTTTCATTGTCTTGTGACATGAAAATTGTGTTTCCTTCAAGTGTTATGCTTTTGTTTTTGAGATTGTAAACCTAGGCTTTCATTTATGAAAATTGTTAATATTAATATATTAAGATAAGTTTTCCTTTCTGGCTGATGTTTGGTTTTTAAATTTTTTTTGGCATTTAATCTTTTATATAACTTTGCTCCGTTTATGTGCATGTATGTTAGGTTTCTGCTTGTTTCTCTTTTAAAATTTAATCCCTTTTCTCCTTCTTTTTCTGCTAGTGTTTCGTCATCAGATCTTGTGTCAAAGTGGATGGGGGAAAGTGAAAAGCTGGTTTCAAACCTTTTTCAGATGGCTCGTGATAGTGCTCCTTCTATCATATTCATTGATGAAATAGATTCCTTGTGTGGTCAGCGCGGTGAGGGCAACGAGAGTGAAGCGTCTAGACGTATAAAAACCGAACTTCTTGTGCAGATGCAGGTATTTATCAGTGTGGTAAAAGTGCTAAGAAGAATTTAAAAATTTCTTTTCCCAAAGGTTTTCAAGATTTTATTTTCACATGATTTACATTCTGATAATCTCTGAACACTTTTCAATTTGATCTTCAGGACTTGATGTAAATTCCATGGCCTTTCTTTTTTGAGCTTTTCGAAAGGATAACTTGCGCCTTATAAATATTAATACTAGACCCAATAGCTTTATTCTATATGAAGTTTGTTTAAGTCCAAAATTTGAAGACCTTTTTTTTTTGGATAATTACACATTCATTTGTTGGTATACAAGTCAGAATGTGAAAACAAAAAATTTGCAGACCATTCATGATTCAACCCATGTACAAAGATAAGCAAATTACCTTGGGACTTTATAATAGCACAATTTTCTTAATTAATGTTATATATTTAGAAAGACTTTTATGTGTATATTGTTGAGAGGTTATTCAATACATATTTATGTAAGGTATTGTTTTATTGCTGTACTCTGCAGCATGCTAGCATCTGTATGCTGATTTTTTTGGGAATTTCCATGTTGCCCGTATTTGTATCACATGGTGCTCATATTTTATTTATGCCTGTGCTAGATTATGAAAAATAGATATATGATCCCTTCCAACTTTTCTAACTTAATGAATGGATTTTATACCTTGTGCTTTTTATGTTTTAGGGTGTTGGACATAATGATCAGAAAGTCCTAGTGCTTGCAGCAACAAATACTCCTTATGCACTTGATCAGGTAAAGGAGAATATCAACGTTATATTCATCTTGGGTCAGCGCAGATGGATTTCTGTTACTAACCAATTGTTCTTATAGGCCATCCGCCGGCGTTTTGATAAGCGTATTTACATTCCTCTCCCAGATTTGAAGGCTCGGCAACATATGTTCAAAGTACTTGACCTTGTCCCTGATCTTCTCCTCCAAAATATTGAGAAAAAACGGAAGAAAATGCCTGGTTGTTTTATATTCTTTTTCACAATAGAATCAATCAATCACTTTTGTTTTCTGATATGGCTGCCTTGTTTTAATAAAATAAATTACAACAGGTGCATTTAGGTGATACACCTCACAACTTGACTGAAAGTGATTTTGAAAACTTAGCTCACCGGACGGAGGGGTTTTCAGGGTCAGACATATCTGTTTGTGTAAGTGCAAGACCTTATGCTTGATCATTATCTCTTCTTTTCCTTTCTCTGAATTCTGTATTGGCAGTGAATCTTCCTATGAAGGACAAATATAGAGTAGCTCACTTGTGCGCTTTTTTACTTGAATTTGTCTTGACAGGTTAAGGATGTTCTTTTTGAACCAGTTCGTAAAACCCAAGATGCTATGTTTTTCTACAAGACACCTAATGATATGTGGATGCCATGTGGAGCAAAGCAACCAGGTGCTTTCCAAATTACTATGCAGGAATTGGCAGTTAAAGGACTTGCAGTTCAGGTATGGAGTTGCTTGAGATACAATGTATTTGAGTTCTTAACTTTATGTCCCTATGCTCCTGTATACTTTGGGAGATTCGCTTATTTTTTTGATTTGTCACTGTGGTGGAGAACGGATGGATATGAAGTGTTTGGAGTGTTTATTTAGTTATTTTCTATATCTAAGATGTGATTATCTTATTATGAAGTCATCGTTGAGATAATTAACACTTAAAAACCATATAATTTAATGAACAAGGAAAACATAATCAAAATACAGAGAAATTTCATCAGATATTCTAGAAGACACTTTGGAATATTACCATTCTGTTATGCAATAAATATATCTATTTAGTCATTTGTGACGTTTCAAGTAATTAAACCTTCTTTTTCATTGATTAATGCCCATGCAGATCCTTCCACCTCCTATTTCAAGATCAGATTTTGATAAGGTTCTTGCAAGACAGAGGCCAACAGTGAGCAAAGCTGATCTTGAGGTCCATCAAAGATTTACAAATGAGTTTGGAGAGGAAGGTTGATGGATTTGATAAAATTGTCACATTGATCTACTCTAGTTGTGAGTGCAATCACTGTGATTTGTATTTTATTAATAACTGCTGGAAGCGGGGAAGGTGACTTCTTTTTTCTTGGATTTAGATGGGAGATACACAATTGAATTGCTGTTTTTTTTTTTACCGTGTAAAGAAGATTACCAAGTAATTTGGCTTATAATGCTAGAATATGAGTTGTGCCCTTTTTCTGCCTAAACTTGAAGAATGGTGCTTTTTTTTTTTTTTTTCATGCGGTCTAATTATCTGGTTTTTTAAATGATTTGAATTTTCAGGTATCATTTGGAGCATTTGCTAGTGCTGCCAACCGTTAGGAGAATGGTTGGATGGGTTGTTTGGAGGGAAACGAAAGTAGGAAAAGTGCTTTTCTTCTTTTTTTTTTTTTTGGGGGGGGGGGGGGGGGGGGTTTACAGGCTTTGGGGGATGGTTTGGTCCGCAGATGTTAATCTGGTCCCTGAGGCATATTTCTTGATATCTACCATGTTGATTTACGAATGCCCTAGTGGATTCCTATTGTCTGGTTTTTGGTGCAGAATATATTTGTATGCTTACCAGCCAGTCTGAGATGTTTTATATAATTGAATTCCCAAAGCCCCTTTACTTCATAACCTTATGCTTGATGGCTTTGAGTCATAACTCTCAAGTTTGCTTTGCTTCATCTTTGACTTGGTAGCGTTAGGGATGCATTTCATGGTCCATTCAAGTTTCATTACCAAGATTGGTTCAATTTTTAAACCATGAATGCTGTTTTGGGATCCAAATGTACATATGTAGGGCATTGTCATTGTTTACGTGCATATCAGATACATTCATTTGCAGTTATGTCAGGTGAGGGTGGCACCAACTTGAATAGTGAGGGTTTTAAGACAGGTTTGAAAAGCTAGTACTTAGTAAAAGTTTTTGAGGTGTCAATTCAGAAAATTTTTTTTTCCTACCAAGAAAAATTAAACAGAAATAAAGACAAAAACTCAAGGTTATATACGCATAAAAACTTCACAAATTTCATACATTTACATATAACTTAAAGACTAAATTAAAAAAATATATAAAGAAAGAAAAAATAAGGCAAATGCATGCGTATATACCTTGTCTTTGGAGAAATTAAAGTCTATCCACCTTAACAAATTTTTGCCCTGAATTAAATAAAAAAGCAGTATCTTGGACAAGGCTTTTTCTTACTTCAATCCTTAGTACCTCCTATAGAATAAAGATGCCCCCACCAAAAAAAAAAAAAAAAAAAGGCTTCCTAGAGATGGCTTGAGAAGGAAAATTAAAAAAAAAAAAGAAAGTATATTTAATTCAAAAGATCTTTTGCATCAAAGAAAAAAAAATATTTTATGTGGGATTAAATGTAGGTTTTAACTTTTGATCATATTGGTTTTCAATTTATATTAATATACTTATTTTCTTTTCATTCTATTGGTTTGAATGGAAACTCTCTTACCTTAACATCACAAATAATTATATTAATATATATATATATATATATATATATATATATATATATATAACGTAAAGTAGCTTGAATGATTCTTGAAAGTAGACCCCTTTCTAGCAATAACAAAGGACGCATGGTCTTTAGCTTATTTTAACACCGTGAGTTATGGTTTTTTTTTTTTTTTTGACAAAAAAAATTTTACATGGCAATCTATGCATCATTTTACAGAATTTGAATGTTGTCTGCGAGCAAGTCATTTAGGTAAAAAATCAGAATATCTCGAGTTAAACTTGTGAGAGTTGAGATACTTCCATTTGGGAGTTGTTTTGATGTCACTTTCGCGGAACTTTGATGCTTCAATGAACATATATTCTTGTTCTCTGAACATTATCCAATGGAATACTTCCAAGAAGCAGACTTTGTTTTGAATAGAGAATTCATGATGTAAGGTCCTATATGAAACCCAACTCAAAGAAAGAATACCAGAAACAGCCGTCTACTTATTAAAACAATAAGGCTTCTAATTAAATTTCTTATCTACAAAAATAGACTTTTCAACCAGAATCAAATCAAGCCGGCATTAGAGTTTTTCTGGTTTTAAGTTTCTTGTGCTATAAGAAGGGCAAGTTCCTGGTCATAGTTCACCACCATTTCATGCTTTAAGCTATTATTGCACTCTAGCTTTTATAGTTTATAGTTTATACTTTATACCACTTGCTATCGCGGTTTTTTCAATTGTGTATCATGAGACTTGCTCAAGTTCTAACTGTTTTCTTGTTCATTAGATTGACTGTGGTGCATGGAGTCAACAGCAATGCCAAGGTAAGGAGATCAGAGAGCGGTTTACACATGTAAGAAAGCTGTTTTACTATGTCCTCCATTTTCACAGTCCATTGATACCAAACACTCTGGATTATGCAATGTACTCACTGATTACACTTGCACTGCAGAGAGCGACTGGGTTGTTTCTGTGTTTGAAAGCAGGACAAATACGATCCATACCACACGTACCTGAGATTTTCTGGGAATAGACTCCATTCAACAATATAAGCAGCTTCAAATGGACTCGTCATCCAATATTATTGTTGGTGTCATCGACAGTGGTAATGCTTTGTATGCCAGCATGCTTTCCTGATTGTTCAAAATTTCATGAATAACTCCTCCCTATTCAAATTTATTCTTCAGGTATTTGGCCTGAATCAGAGAGCTTTAGTGATGAAGGATTGGGTCCTGTGCCTGAAAAATTCAAGGGAGAATGTGTACCCGGAGAACAGTTTGCATTATCCAACTGCAATAGGTATACTGACATTTCCCAATGTGAACTTTCATCTCATCATCTCAACAGTTTATAGCAAATTCTTTTTGTACTTAACCATACAACCAGATACAGCTATAAGTTGAATGTAACGTGATCACATCAATGAGGCTATATGTATTATATAAAAGAAACCAGCATGGAATAATTGTGAGTCCAATGACACATCGCCTTCAAATTTTCAGGAAAATTATAGGTGCAAGGTTTTATTTCAAAGGGTTTGAAGCAGAAAATGGGCCTCTTGAATCTCTCAACAGCATTTTCTTCTGGTCAGCTCGAGACAGTGATGGTCATGGAACCCACACTGCCTCAACCATTGCTGGATCATTTGTAGCAAATGCCAGCTTATTTGGCATGGCCAGAGGCACTGCAAGAGGTGGTGCACCCACTGCCAGGCTTGCAATCTATAAAGCTTGTTGGTTTAACCTTTGCAGTGATGCTGATCTTCTTTCTGCTATGGATGATGCTATAAGTGATGGTGTCGATATCCTATCTCTTTCCCTTGGCCTGATCCACCACAACCGATATACTTTGAAGATGCAGTCTCCATTGGAGCTTTCCATGCATTCCAAAAGGGAGTTCTAGTTTCCTGCTCAGCTGGAAACTCTATTTTTCCAGGTACTGCAACCAATGTTGCTCCTTGGATCCTCACAGTTGCCGCAAGTTCTGTGGCCAGAATATTCAACTCAAGCATATATCTTGGAAACTCAAGAGTTTTGAAGGTAATATTCTGAAAACATTTTTGCACTAAGGGTCCTACCTTCAACCCCCTCTCCCAACAAGAAAAAAAAAAAAAAAAGCCTGAAAAAGAGCACAAAAACAGAAGCAAAAAGAATCAGCAAACTGCACATAAGGTTGATATTTACCAGGATACTTTTATGCTCTCAGGGTTTCTCTTTAAACCCTCTGAAAATGGAAACCTCATATGGTTTGATTGCTGGGAGTGCAGCAGCTGCCAAAGGAATTACACCATACAATGCTAGGTATGCCCAAAAGTTCTACTCTGCAGCATGATAAATGGAACATGTTCATGATCACCCCGTGCCTTCAGAATTGCATTTTCAAAGTTGATTAATGTATATAATCACTCAAATTATACCAGCATTTAAATATTCATTTCCTCTTGATTCATGCATACAATAGGTGAACTAGTGCAAAATCCTTTAATCACAAATCTCTATTTTGTGAATAATGGAATCATCACAACAACATCCTAACAATTTAACATTTTCCAAGAGTATATAAGACATTCAAAATGATTATATTTTCCTCACTAGGAATTTTATGAGAACGCATGCCATGTCATTGCTATATAACCAAGATAGGAAAGCAATCCTTTGGTCATTTGCTCAGAAAGCCTGGTTCACATCCCCTTCCTTATAAGGTATATTATTTCCTCACCCTAGGTAGATGCAGGATAGAAAACCACCATTCTCCTTCTCAATACTAAGATGCAATGGGCTAGAAACTAAAACTTGGAACAAGGCCCAGGATTAAGCATACTGTAAGAATGGCTTCTCAAGATTCATGCCACTAACCTGATGGATTTCTACTGTTTTCCAGCTTTTGCAAGAATAATACCCTAGATGCTACTTTAATTAAGGGGAAGATTGTGGTGTGCACAACTGAGACAGTAACTGATAACCAAGGAGAGAAAAGCATATTTATAAGACAAGGTGATGGTGTAGGTATGATACTTATTGATCCGTCTGCGAAAGAGGTTGGCTTCCAGTTTGTGCTCCCAGGCACTCTAATTGGTCAAGAAGAAGCAGTACTGCTACAAGAATATATGGCAACTGAAAAGTGAGTACATTGAAAACTGAATTTGGACTGAATTACTATTTCAAAATTGGGCAGTACTAACTATTTCTATTGTTACAGGAAACCCATAGCCAGAATCTACCCAACAATAACAGTTCTAGACAGTAAACCTGCACCGGCAGTGGCTGCATTTTCTTGCATGGGACCAAATGTTATAACTCCAGACATCATTAAAGTAACTACTATATAATTCTCAATACTTTTTTTGCACATGCCTTAATGTGATCCTATCCCTGCTGTTGTTCTGAATAAGTTTAGTGAGGAAACTATAGTCCATAAGATTGCCCATAAGATTGCTCTTCCTGATGCAAATGTCATGCAGCCAGACATTACAGGACCTGGATTGAATATTCTGGCAGCATGGTCTCCTGTAGCAATTAAAGCCACAGCTGAACGTTCTGTCAACTATAACATTATCTCTGGAACCTCCATGTCTTGTCTTCATATTTCTGGTGTTGCTGCAATCATAAAATCCACCCAACCCTCATGGAGTCCAGCAGCCATAAAGTCTGCAATAATGACAACAGGTTAACAGTTCTCTGCAATGAATATTATCAGAATACATGGCTGATGCTTCAAATATAACCCAATTTTTCTGTCACATTTTATATCTAAGACGTCATTTGCTGCTACAGCTACTGTCCTTGATAATACCAGACACCTGATTGGAAGAGAACCAAATGGCATTGAGACTACGCCTTTTGACTATGGATCTGGACACATAAATCCAACTGCGGCACTTGAACCTGGTCTAACTTATGACTTTGATTTGAGTGACATCATCAATTTTCTTTGCAGTACAGGTGCAAGCCCTGCGCAACTGAAAAACCTCACTGGGCACCTAACTAATTGCCAAAACCCTCCTGTACCATCCTATAATTTAAACTATCCCTCAATTGGTGTCTCTAACATGAAGGGAAGTTTATCTGCTTATCGAACAGTTACATATTATGGTAAAGGTTCCACAGTTTATGCTGCATATATAGAGCATCCAGTTGGTGTTAAAGTTATAGCTACACCTTCAAAACTTTGCTTTACAAAGACTGGAGAGAAGCAGTCCTTCAGGGATGATTTCATCCCCTACAAGAATAGTAATGGAAGTTTTGTCTTTGGGGCTTTGACATGGAACAATGGCATTCATAACGTCAGGAGTCCTATTGGTCTCAATGTGCTATCTGTGTAGAGACAAACTGCTAACTGCATCTTTGAATTTGAGTTCATATAAGTTCGTGGAATATCCTGTCCACAGCCAACTCTTAGCAATTAATATCCTACTATTTATGTTAACTATGCCTTTTAGTTTCATGTTTCTATTTAAGAAATTCCTTGATATTAAGTTTAACTCTATGATTCCTAAGAAACGTACTTCTTTTTAGTATATTATATGTTAAGATGCTGCATCCTACTCACTTGGTCTCGTAAGGCTTCAGTTGAGAACTGTCCAACATCAACGACTGGAAAGTAGCATAGAAAGCTTTTCCCTTCTGGAGTTGTTTGATGATCCATTTATGAGATTCTATAATCATTCTGGAAATTGAATGTTAACCTTCTGTGGAACTCACTAAGAAATTAGCACCAGGTTTTTGTTCAACTTCAATATTTTTGCAGAATCAGCACCTAGAAAGGTGATTGTTGAAAGATGTCTGCCTGTAATTGCGGATCAGAAGGCATATTAAAGCTTTGACAAGCACAGGATGTATCCAAAGTAATGAATTAATTTCTCTCAATGTAACTTTATGTAAATGCAACAGGAACAAACCTTAGTCAGACTTTTCCAGCCCATGACTCAATTCACGGTAGATGAAGGTATGGTTTACACTAATGAAGACCAAGAGTAACAATCAGAAAAAAAAAAAAAAAAGAAAGAAAGCACATACCTTATCAAACAACATGTTTACAGCAAAGTCAGAAACACAAGCAGCCATCACTTGCCTCTGACAAATGTTCCTATTGCTTAGCAAACATTACTCTACCATGAACGACTGGTAAGTACATAGGATTGGCCCAAGCACATAAATAGGATCGAATTTTCATGTCTAGCACATTGAGCTTTAAATTATATTCCCACCCCTTGCACCTAGATGAATGGAGAAACCTTTTGGAAGCTTCACGATGCATCGATCAATTACTATGAAGGACGAACATGAACATGTAGTATTTCGGTGTGTCACAAACGTCAAAGTGTCGGACATGGATACGACATGGATACGCGAGAGGTTCAGAAGTGTCCATGCTTCATAGATCAATTATTACGAGTAGTCACCCCATGAACAACTACCTGCTTTGAAGAGGTGGAACCGGTTTGTATACCGAACAACTATATCCCTTCCTTCAATCATTGATATTAAGTTAAAACAAGTGTGATAGTCCCCACACACTCTAAGGTTCTTAACAATCTGAAGAGCTGCTCCAGAAGGAGTAGCAATCAACCCAAAAGCACTAGCCAGTCTCTCACTGTTGAGAAAGAATGGTTTCTTTGACTTCAGCAGCAATGTCTTTAAGTACATAAAGAGTATCAGGTTGATACCCCATGTCCTTTAGCCGAGTTTTTAACTCATCAAGTTTTGAATATATATGATCTGAATGGGACGAGAAAAATCAGCAGCCAAGAATGAGTGAGTCTTGTTCTTTACTTAAATCCAGCTGTAACCAGCCTCTTTTTATTTTTTATTTTTACTTTTCTCTTCCCATCAATTTCCTCACTGTCCTTCTTTCATGCCAATTCCTGCTGTAGCAAAAATATTGGAAAGCAGAACATATGCAGCTGAGCCTTGTGGCTGAAGTGAAATAAGCTGTTCTGCAGCAAGTTTTCCCAGCTCCAAATTGCGATGAACATGGCAAGCAGCCAAGAGAGCTTGCCGCACAGTTGTACCAGTGGTGAATGGCATCCTGTTTATTATGTCCATGGCTTTTTCAAGCATTCCAGCTTGGCTATATAGATTGACCATGCAAGAATACACCTCTATTGTTGGTTAAATGTCGTGATTTTTTACCATGATGTTGAAGTACATTTCGCCTTCATCCACTAATCCAGAAGAACCACAGGCAGAAATGACAACAATAAATGTTATATCATCCATTTCCACATTTTTGTCATTGCATTTCTTCAAATACCTTAAGAGCTTTCTCTGCATTACCATGCTGTGCATATCCAAAGATCATTGAGTACCATGACACAAGGTCTCTTTCCCGCTGCTTCTTAAAAACTTGATATGCATTACCTATATTCCCTCTCTTGGAATACATGGTAATAAGAGCACTACTTAAACATAAAGCATTACTTAATTTTGATTTGAATTGCTTTCCCCATTCTAAAGGCGTTGTAGGTGCTGTGCAGGGATTTATAACACTGGAAAAGGTAAATTCATTAGGTTTACTCTCTGCCTTTACCAGCTGGATAAATATTTTGCTAGCTCCTTCAGAGTCCCCTATTTGAGCATAATCAGCTAGCATCACTGACCATGCAACAATGTCCCTCTCATCAATTTGTTCAGAAGCTTTTGCAGCTTCCTCAATATTTCCCAACTTAACATAAGCATCTAAAATAGCAGTTCCAATAGAAGGCCACTTCTCATAATTAGCTTTGGTTACTTGCGCATGTATTTGAAAAGGAGAAACAGCAGGTTGACCTTTAAGGATGGAAGAGAAAGTAAAACGGTTTGGTCTTACACCTTGTTCATTAAGCAAAAAAGTTTAAGTGCCTGTTCAATTCCACCATTCTGCAGGTGCCCACTCATTATAGCCGTCCAAGATACAATATTTTGAGCTTCATGCATCATTGAGAACAACTTGAATGCATCATCCATTTTTCAGCACTTGCTATAAGCTACCATAAGTGCAGTTTTGATTTTAGGGTCAGAACTAAAACTATCTTTCAAACCCCGACAGTGAAGCTGCCTTGCAAAACCAAATTCCTTATGGTTAGCACATATCTTTATAGGGGAAGCAAAAACCATCTGAGGAAGCTTAACAACAGCAAGCCTCATATTGTAAAATGTTTCAAAAGCTGCTAAATCAAGCCCATTTATCACATAACCAGCAATTATACAATTTCATGTCACTGCATTCTTGGTTTGCGTAACACCAAAAATAGCTCTAGCATCTTTATCCATCCCTGACTTCAAATACATATTTATCAAAGAATTGCACACAAAATTTGTTGTCTCAAAACAAAACTTTATAATCAAACTATGAACTTGAACACCCTTCTCTACTATCCCTTCATACGCCATGACTCCAAGAACAGCCGCAAAGGTATATGGAAATTTTGGCTTTATCCCGTCCATTTGCATTGTCAACAACAAGTCCAAAACTTCCTCATTCATTCCATTCCGTGCATAGCCTCCAAACAATGAAGTCCAAGAAACCACATTTCTTTCTCCCATATGATCAAATACTCTCCTACCATCTCTCACATTCTCTGTTTTCATATACATATCTAAAAGAGAAGTACCTACACTGATATCCTCAGGTAACCCAAGTTTCAAACATTGGCAATGGACTTGTCTTCCAGCTATCTCATTAAACAAGCATCCACGGACATTTAAAACACAAGAAAACATTAAGCCATCGACGGGTAAACCAAAACTATGAATACCCAGAAAGAGATTTAGAGCTTCCATCTTGTTGTTATTGCGAGAGTACTCAAAAAGCAAGCCATTGTATTGTGCACGGTCTGGTTGAGGGCTTTTGTCAAACAGGTGAGGAGTCGGCTGTAAAGTAGCAGATTTTGAGAGATAGATTAGTGGAATGGATGGCTGAGAGTTTTGAGAGAATGCTTTGTTTGAGATTTTGTAAGAGTTCTTAAAGAGATGCTCCAGGTAATGCTATCCTGTTTGATAGTACTAGAAGTTAACACGCTTCGAGGGAGTGCTTTTTTTTTTTTTTAATTTTTGTTTATACTGTACACAAATACAATACAAAGTTAATAAACAAAACAAATCAAATAAAAAAAAGTTAATAAACAAAAGAAACAATAAAACCCCAAGGATGATGGTGGGCAATCTACAATTTACTAACTTTAATTTTTTGTTTGGCAAAAAAATCTTTTCATTTTGATATGGTAAGTACTCGTTTACAAATATATATATATATATATATATAAATATATATAATACAAATTATTTTTTTTAACAAATAAATTACTATATCTCAATATTTTGGGTTTTCTTTTTTCTTTTTTATTGTAAGACGAAGTTTTATCATTTTCGAGATCTCGTCTTCTATGGTTTTTTATTTGTTTTATTTTTTATTTACCTTGTGCCTTCTCTGTAATTGAATTAGGACTTGGAGATCTCGTCTTCTATGGTTTTTTATTTGTTTTATTTTTAATTTACCTTGTGCCTTCTCTGTAATTGAATTAGGGCTTTTCTTCTTACCAAAAAAAAAAAAAAGAAAACCCACTTATTGACCCTATTTAGTTAATTTTTAGAATTAGCTTTAATAGAAAAGCCTTTTTTTTTTTTTAATGTCTTTTCTCTCTTCCCATTAATCTACCTCGAAATTTGCTGCTTCTTTTTCACTTCTAAGCACTCCAAAACCCTAAATTTTCATATTTTGCTTTTTTGGGTTTTCAGAAAACAAGGTAAAGTTTCTTTTTTTTTTTGGGGGGGGGGGGTGTTTGATAATTTTCCACAATTAGGGTTCTTTTTTTCTTTTGGTTTTGGCTGCTAAGAAACCTTAATCTTTATTTTTCATTCTAAGCTGTGGTTGGGTTTTTTTTTTTTTTTTCTCCTTTTGAAAAGCTATGAACTTTACTAGTCTTTGTCTGAGTTTTCACCAAACATAGTGAAAAAGGAAGCAGAATTTTAAAGGGTTCTGTGGAGCAGCTAAAGAAGAGAAGGATGATTGCTGAGAAACCAAGTTGGGTTAGGCATGAAGGAATGCAGATTTTCTCCATTGATGTTCAGCCTGGCGGTCTTAGGTTTGCTACTGGTGGGGGTGACCACAAGGTAAACTTTCCTTCTTAATACTCTTTGTATTCTCGTTTGGCTTAGGTTTGCTACTGGTGGAGGTGGCCACTGTTACAGATTGGCATGTGTATACTACAATGATATGACCAGAGTTTATCTAACTATGCTGACAAATAGCATCTGTATATGTTGGATTGTATATTATCTTTTGTTCTTAAATATCACTGTTTTTGTATCGTCTTAAAAATGCAGGTTCGAATATGGAACATGAAATCTGTTGGCAGGGACTTGGAAAATGATGAATCTACACAGAGGCTTCTTGCAACCTTGCGAGATCACTTTGGGTCTGTCAACTGTGTTAGGTGGGCTAAGCATGGTCTATTTGTTGCATCAGGCTCTGATGATCAAGTGATTCTAATTCATGAGAGAAAGCCTGGTTCTGGAACCACTGAGTTTGGCAGCGGAGAGCCCCCTGATGTTGAAAATTGGAAAGTTGCAATGACACTGAGGGGACACACTGCAGATGTGGTAATGATATAGTTTTTCATGTTAGGACATATTGCCACTGATAAGGGCTCAACTCTCTATCCTCTAGTTGGTTTTATTGTGCTACATATTCATTTATTTTTCATTCTTGGAAAAGCATCAAATTTTACCTTGAAACTCAGTTTGTGCAGCATCTTTTTCTCACTACATAAATTGTTAATGGCTACACTTTTTAGTATGTGTTTATTTTGATTTGGTAAAAAGAAAAGAGGGGGGTGGGGGGAGAGAAAGTAGAGGAGAAGGAATAGATGGTTGAAATCCTTTACTGTAATGTCATATGCAGCCCCCTTAATTTAATATAGTGGTTTTTTATAAGCACTGGATATCGTCTTACTTGGAAGTTTCTTTTATTCTGCGCTTGAAGTAGGTGGATCTTAATTGGTCTCCTGATGACTTGATATTGGCTAGTGGGAGTTTGGACAACACCATCCACATATGGAATATGAGCAATGGCATCTGCACAGCTGTGCTCAGGGGTCATTCTAGTCTTGTTAAAGGAGTTGCCTGGGATCCCATTGGTTCCTTCATAGCAAGTCAATCTGATGACAAGACGGTCATAATATGGCGAGCAAGTGACTGGAGTCTTGCTCATAGAACAGAGGGTCACTGGGCAAAATCAGTATGTTTATCTGTGTTGATGGAATTTTCTTGTGTTAAATTCTGTTTCATTTTCTGATGTAAATATGTTCTTTTCAGCTGGGATCTACGTTTTTCAGGCGGCTTGGATGGTCACCATGTGGCCATTTTATAACTACCACTCATGGTTATCAAAAGCCAAGGCATTCTGCACCTGTTCTAGAGAGAGGAGAATGGGCTGCCACATTTGACTTCTTAGGCCACAATGCCCCGGTTATTGTAGTGAAGTTTAATCACTCAATGTTCAGAAGGAATTTTGCCAATTTGCAGGAAGTGAAAGCCACACCTGTTGGCTGGGCAAATGGAGCTGCTAAGATTGGGGGAAAAGAATCACAGCCATATAATGTAATTGCAATTGGAAGTCAGGACCGCACTATAACTGTTTGGACAACTGCAAGTCCTCGACCTCTTTTTGTAGCCAAGCATTTCTTTGGTCAAAGTGTTGTGGATTTATCATGGTAAAAAGTTTCATTTTAGTGAAAGATATATTTTTTATGTCATTGATTTGCACTTTGTTTGCATTGTGGTAGCGTTTTTCTCTTATGCCAATTTTTTTTTTATATCTTGATAGTAACCTTTTTTCATAAACAGGAGCCCTGATGGCTATTCTCTCTTTGCCTGTTCATTGGATGGGACAGTGGCTACTTTCCATTTTGAGGTGAAAGAACTTGGCCACAGGCTAAGTGATGCTGAACTTGATGAGTTAAAAAGAAGTCGCTATGGTGACGTTAGAGGTCGACAGGCGAATTTGGCAGAGAGCCCAGCACAATTATTGCTTGAAGCTGCTTCAGCCAAGCAAACCACTAGCAAAAAAGTAGCTTTGGATGTTCAGCAGAACCAGATACCTGTAAAATCTTCTGTTGAGTTGGGGGCTACAAACAAAAATTCTGAGCCTCAGAATAATGATGGGAAGAAGAGTGGGCTAGCTGCTAGTGACGGATTAAATAAAGCAGTGACTTCTGCCCGGATTTCTAGTCCTGTGAAACAAAGAGAATATAGGCGTGCTGATGGTAGAAAGAGGATCATTCCTGAAGCAGTTGGTGTGCCCATTCAGCAGGAAAATATTTGTGGCAATGCTCAATCTCAAGCACTAGACTTCCCTCTTTCATCTTCCTATCACAGAGAAAATGATAATGTAGTTCCTACTGATGGTGGTTTGAGAGAAGCTTCTGGCAGGGGAACCATTGATAGAAGCTCTGATTTAAAGGAGCGCTTGGGGGTCACTGCCAGGGCTATTGTTACTGACAGCCTGGTTATAGAGAAAGTTCCAGTCTCTGCTGGCCAAGATCATAGCATCAGTGTAGAACAGTGTGGAAGCATGAAGCCTTCAGATTCCACTGCTTCCTCTACCACATCTCTTTCAATTAGGGTATTTGAGAAGAAAGAAGGTGAGGATATGACACCAGTTTGCTTGGAAGCTTGTCCTAGGGAACGTGCTGTGAATGACATTGATGGTGTAGGAAATGCATGTATGACAAAAGAAACAGAAATTGTTTGCACAAAAGGGTCTCAAACTCTTTGGTCTGATCGTGTCTCAGGAAAAGTCTCTGTTTTAGCAGGAAATGCAAACTTCTGGGCTGTGGGATGTGAAGATGGGTGTCTGCAGGTAAGCAAGAACACTCTATCCTAGCCAGGCAGAATTTATATTTTCCTCCGTTATATTTGAAGATGGGTGTATGATTTTGTTTTTTAATCTTTTGTGATATCTTGCTCTCTTATGTCAAGTTCATGGTTTTCCCACATTTTTTTCCTTGCCGGTGGGGTGTTACTGTGGGTTTGTGTAGGCATTTCACCATACTGATTTCAAGGTTGGGCTTTAGACTGGCATCTTGCATGTACTTGATTGATATTATACCTGGCAAATCATTACAGTGAGATTTCATAAATTGTTTGGCAAATGTACCTTAGTCTTTTTTGCTCATGTTTTTTAAGGTTTATTCAAAGTGTGGAAGACGTGCATTACCGACCATGATGATGGGATCTGCAGCATCCTTTATAGATTGTGATGAGAGCTGGAAATTGTTATTGGTCACAAGGAAAGGATCTTTGTATTTATGGGATCTCTTCAATAGGAACTGTCTCCTCCATGATTCATTGGCTTCTTTAATCACTTTGGACCTTAGCTCATCTGCAAAAAGTACATGTACTTGATATAATTTGAGCCTTTGTATTATATTAGAAGACTTAATATTTTGTGGAAGTAGGTTTACAGCTCATAATGTCTTGTTCATGTGGGATGTTGCACATATTTCCTGACATTTTTATGACTCTTTTCAGGCACAATCAAAGTTATATCTGCTAAGTTATCAAAATCTGGTTTTCCTCTCGTTGTTTTGGCTACTCGGCATGCATTTCTCTTTGACATGAGTCTAATGTGTTGGCTGAGGGTCGCAGATGACTGCTTCCCTGCATCAAATTTTGCCAGTTCTTGGAATTTGGGTTCAATTCAGACTGGTGAGCTGGCTGCACTGCAGGTGGATGTCAGGAAATATTTGGCCAGAAAGCCAGGCTGGAGCAGGTTTGTCACTACTAATATTTTGCCCTAAAATCATGAAGCCATATTAGATTTGATGCCGGATATTTGTTTGACATCTTATCTAAGTCGGTGGCATGAATTTCAGTTATACTCTTCTCTTACTAAAGTTCCATTTGACACAGTAGCTGCTAAAAATAATTCTGAATAAATACCAGTTTTAATTATTTTAAGAAGCTCTTTTACCTGTGTAACTGATGACACAGGTGATCATGTTTTGCAACAGGGTTACTGATGATGGTGTGCAGACACGTGCTTATTTAGAAGCCCAGTTGGCATCATCATTGGCTTTGAAATCCCCTAATGAATATCGCCAGAGCCTTCTTTCCTACGTACGCTTCCTGGCGAGGTGTGTCTTTCTCCCTTACCAATTGCATTTTAGAGTGATGATAACATAAAAATCATGTGTGGCTTCACTACTTGTAATGCCAAGTTTGTATTCTGTGTATTGCAATAAAACTTTGGCATCTATGTATTGCTGCAGAATAATGTTCTGTATCGCTTATTGGGCCACAAGTATTATAATAAATTATTAAAACTATACATGCTCTTTTGTGTTTGCAGAGAAGCAGATGACTCTCGTCTGCGAGAAGTCTCTGAAAGTTTTCTCGGGCCACCAACTGGGATGGCTTCAGATTCCAAGAATCCTGCTTGGGATCCCTATGTGCTTGTAAGTCTTTTTCCCAACCTCTTTTAAATACTCTCCATTTATTTTAGTGCATATTTTTTATCATATCCTAGAATATCTGTGGAGAATCACTCATCTGAAAATACATTATCTGAGGTGCTTTACAAATGTAATACTCACGTGTTTTTGTTCAATTAGTTTTAAAATCTTTCTAGAGGGTTGATGTCCTCAGAAGGTAAGAGATATTGCTTTAAGGAATTTTTTTGTTCATTTTTGTTGTCAATGAAAGCACCTCTATCCTAGTGGTTTCCATTACCGGGGAACAAAACCTGCATGGCTTTTTGATTTGTTTCTGGCTTGTGCAAGTCTGACCACATATCCTTTCTTATTTCCCTGGACCCTGGTATCTGACATCCTAGTTTGATACTTGTCTATCTAGGGCTTTGAAACATTTTGAACTATTATCTGGATCTTTGTAGGGAATGAGAAAACACAAACTTTTAAGAGAAGACATTCTTCCTGCAATGGCATCCAATAGAAAAGTTCAGCGTTTACTTAATGAGTTCATGGATCTCCTCTCAGAATATCAAAGTGTTGAAAACAATCTAGACCAAAAAATTCCATCTCCGCCAACTACTTCTCAACCAGCTATAGATCTGATGGACTCTACCCCGTCTGCAGCAGGTCAAACAGATTCTGCCCTGCTGGCAACAGATAAGAAGGAAAATCCTTCCCTTGGTCAAGATAAAATGGATTCTGCTCCATCAATAACACATCAAGTAAACTTGGGCAACCTCCAATAATGCTTACTAGCGAACAGCGGAGTGCTCAGAAATATATCCCTTGCTGTTACTCCTTGCCATCTTGAGCTTGATGCTTGAAAGGGCAGCCTCCTATATATATGGAGCTTCTCATTTTGTTGGACCAGATGTATTTTTTTTGTTTCTTTGTGTATGTAACTTTAGGATCTCACTTGTTAGTTAAAAGTTATTTTTTGTTTCTCACCATTGATAGAAATCATTCTCTTGTACAATTAATTGAGCATAATATTAATCCAATCCTGTCTTTCAAGTGTTCCTATTCTGTGGATGTTTGGTGATTGGAAAGATTATTATTATTATTATTATGACAAAAGGCTAGGTTTGTTAATTAGGTGATTGTTGTTTTCAGTTGTTGGCAGCTTTTCAAGACAGAGGGTTAAGACCCAATGATGTTGAATTATTTACTTCTTTTGGTTTCTAAAGTACAAATCGAAACTTCTTGTTTGCCCATCCGTTCTATAATGACACATTTTAAAGGAATTGAAGCAATTTGATGATACAATTTTTTGTTTACCAATAGCAATAGGAAAATAAACAAACTTGTTAACAATGAAGCGTCTTACAGCTAGCTTGGACCCCATTGACTGAATTTTTTGAAGTAAAAAGTTAGATACAATGCTCGATTGATGCCATGAATCGAGTGTGAAATAATTCTTTGTTTCACACCGGAAAAAATTTGGAACCTACTTTTGTATAATATTTTTTCTTCATTTTTAAATTATGACTTGTATATTTTGAAAGAAATTGACTTAAAAATTGAATTTCTTAAAAGCTCGATTACATAAATAGGTAAAATTTGTTTAATCCATTTTAATATGAAAATATTATCATTTTTGTTTCAAATTTTTATATATTTTGACATAATATAAAATTATTAATTTGATTGTAATATTTCATTTATAAATTAATTGATTTATCAATGAACTGATAACTCTCACATTTAAATTTATTTAATACTTATATGCCATGTGAGAAAGTACTAAAATGTAAAATAAAATTAGTGAGATAAATAGCATGATTCTTGTGATATGTTCACATAATTAATTTAATTATTCAAAGTTCAAACCCAATTTTCAGCAGACACAGTTAAAAATAAGATGCAATAAATAAAATATTTGTAAACTATAGTTCGCTAAAAAAACAAGACAGTGATGATTTAACCTTCTTAAATTTTATAAAAAAGTTCCTTAATTCTGAAGGAATCCTTAATTCCGAATGAAATCTTTCATAAGATCAACAGTATCCCCTTTCTTTGTAGAATTTTTATCATAGTCGCTATCGTTTTAAAGATTTGATGGTACCCAAACACCAGGAGATAGCCCGCCTAATTCCATAAAATGTTTGTACTAGAAATGTTTCAAATCAAATTTGATGCAATCAAAACCTTTTTGTCTTTGTGTGTATAAATATAATAAATGTGTTTGGAAACCATATCATATATTGTTACCATTTTTTTCTAAACTACTTCAATTTTCAATACGAGAGCGAAAACCAACCAAAAAACAGTTTTTTTCTTCTTGTTTACGTCACTTGAATAATGAATATCATATCTTTCATCTTGATGAGGTGCAATAACTATTAATTTTTTTTCACAAGAGGAATTCTGTACTGTAATATATGTTTTTTTTTATTATTTGAAAAAAGAGAGAATAAGAGATTTGACCACTTCTCTTTTTTTTTTTTTTTTTGGGATAAAAATTATGCATTAATAACTGAGTTCAATGCTCGTATGGTAATATTGATGATTTTGTGACCCTTCATGAAATAAAGCTTTTTGTAGGGCATAAATTGTGGAAAAAGAAGATAATTTTACCAAAGAGTGCTAAAAAAAGAGTTCTACTCTCTAAATATGTATGTTTAGTTTTACTCATTTAATAAAATTTTTAATTGCCTTATTGTAATGTTTCTTATTAATTAGTTTTGCTATTTTTATTTTCGATTGCAACATGGATGGTTTTTTTATCAATGGTATATAAAATATATATAAAATAAATTTTCAATTTTTTTCTTTTAGAATGAAAATATTTGTATAAATAGCAATTAACGTATATAGTTAATATATTAAAAAAAATTCCATAAACCAACTAAACAATTACTTAATCAAAACCAACAAAGATTACTTAAATTAACAGTACTTACAACTTGAATCTGAAATGAAATTTTAAATAAATTAAAAAGATCATAATAATTGACGTACTATGTATTCCTAAATCAACTAACTACGTACTGTAGAATTCATTGTATAAAACAATTTTAAAAATAAAATAGAACTTTTTATGGGAGTATGCTACCACATACTGCTAACTAGTTCTGTGACCCATATGCACAACATGATTAATAAATATTATAATGTAGCAATTTTTCTTTTTTGGTGTAATTCATAACTTATTCTACAATAAGAATACATATGTAGAGGGACATTAAAGATCAACTACTCTTATCTCTTAAATGTTGATAGTTTAGAATATGGTACATTTTATAATGGATATAAAGATTTAGTTATTGATGAATAAAATTAATTTTTACATTAATTTTATTTATATTTTAAATAATTTTATTTGAATAAGAATAATTATCATATAACAAATGGTCATAATTATTTGAATATAAATAAATTATTATTCATAAAGGTCATGATTATATAAAAGGTCATAACCCTCTGAATAGAAGTTTATGTCTGTTCATTCATTATAAATAAATATTTTAATACAACTATTTGCACTGCTTCTGATTGGAGAGTTTGAGGTTTATTGTATCCTAAAAATATAATTGCCTTTAAAAAAAATGTTCTTTACGCCTCAAAGTCAAAAATTTTTTCTATTATTTCTCCTCTTATTTATTTTTTCTAACAATTTAAAGACAATTATTAAAAATTTATATTTCATATGAGGAAGATACAAGGAAAAGAAATTGGCTTGATTTGGAGATCAATATTAGAGAAAGTTGAAAGTGTCAAAAGATTAATGTTTTTATGGACCAAAATGTTAATTTACATAAAGATCTTCATTATAGGTATGTATTTTATTTTTTATATAATTGCTAGTAAAAAGATTAACTGAATGAGATAATACATTAATAATTTATTTTATTAGCATGTAAAGTTAAAACACAATATGCAAAATATTGATTACATTGTATAAGTTTATACATATACTAAAATTGGCTCTACAATTAGGTTTAATGAATTATATTATATTTATTTGAAAAATCAATGCTTATAAAGACTATGATGAAAAATAGATTGAAAACATAAAAGAGAAAGACATGAATTGATTTACGATCAAAAGAATTATCACTTATTATCAAATAACGAATTAAATTAGGTTCTAATGGAATGGTCGATTGTTTAATTGTCATGTCTTAGTTATATATAAAACAGGCAAATTTTCTCATAGTTTTTATGAAAACAATCTAAAGTGGGTAAATGAATTTACCATAAGAAATTAGATGCAAATAGAGAATATATGTAGAAAAATAAAATTTGGCTACAAGATTAGTTTTATTATTAAATCATGGCACCAAAATTGAGATAATAAGTTGAATCAAGTTATTTGTATGATTCAATCTTTGTTAGTCGCTTATAAATTAAATATTGACAATATATTTTTAAAATTTATTATTGGTTCAAATTTTGACAAGTATTTAATTTTTATGAAAACTAATTAAAATTAAATTGATATATGTGAAAACTATTATTAAGATACGGTGTTTCATGGATTAATTGATGGATAATAAACCAAATAATAATTATTATTAGAAACATAGGCAGTGTGACATGTATTTTGCCCACCGGATGTATTACACTATAAGTGTTTTTATAAAATAAAATTTTATTGTGAACAATCAAAAAGTGAAAATCATAAAAAAACTGTCAAAGAATTAATCAATGGTTACAAAAAAGAATCATTATTGCTTTTTGCATATGGGATATTGACTGCACAAAAAGGCATGCCATTAAAAAAAATATTGAAACATTTGTCAGTTACTAGCATTTTGAAGGATGCTCATCAATGTTTAATTAGGTATGTTTATAAATTAGAAAAAAAAACATGCAAATTCAATGTTCCAAAGGCACCAATACATGCATGTGTTTGATTTCATTTTGTGATTGCATGGAGAACATTGATACAATTTACCATATATTATGAAAATGAACTAAATGGGATGGAATTTTCTTTCTTATACATATAAGAAAGATATGGACTATGGAGATAGAATGCCATCATCCAATTAATACATTATTGGTTAAAGACAATGAAAGTATTTTTGCTTCTTGTACTAAAAAAAAATAGCCTTTTATAGACTATTAAAATGAAAAGTGAACAAGTTTTTAAGGTTTCCAATAGTTTCATGACAATGGCAATGATGTGGCTAGTTATATATCATATTAACATATGGGCTTAGATAATAATATTGGTTTGTGAAAGCTGTAAGCCCTAGAGTTAACCAATCACTTATTTAACTAACGTAAATTCATCATGAATTTTTGCATGAAATATGAGTAGAACTTATATTATAATTATTGTTCATACTATTTTATGAAAATGATTCTTTGGATTCATATTTTATGACTTGCATTGATATGATGATCTAGATATGAACATATTGGTTACAAAATGATTGTGAAAATATTTGAAATTGGAGTTAAATATACTATAGACTCTTATTGTATATAGGCATGTTGGTCGTATGAGTAAAGGTTGAATTTATTATATATCTAAAAATGTTTTGACCAATTAAATGTGATAAATAACAGAGATATATAGGCTACATAATGGTGAAAAAATAAAGTTCTCATAAAATTTTAAAATCAAGTTTAGAGCTTTCAATAATCATGAACTTGGAATTGGCTATTGGGCAATTACTATATGCATTGAAAACTCATGATGATATTTGAGATAATGAAAACGCCATCTTTATAAATGAGATAATTTTAATAGTCAAATCTACATGATTTATAGCTATGAGGTAGATTATTATGGTTGACTTAAAATAGTCATAAGCCAAAATTGATGCCACAATCTTGATCGTGTTATAGTAATTTTTGTTATGTATATGGTCTACTTCATGGAATGTGTCATAACATATAGACTCGAAAATCTATCGCTAAACTTAACAAATGGAATTGCCACCAATCTTTTTTAACTAGGTGTGATTGCCCACTTAAGAAATCTACCCTCTTAAGGAGCTCTTAAACTTGACTAAGAGTCCCTAAAAGAATAAGTTCGAGTCTATTAACCAGAACAAAGTTTGAA